AACTTTCATTCTAATTTCAAAAATAAAGTCTCAGAATAGGAGAACTATGAAAATCCTAATGATGTACTTCTTTTCATAGGCCTATTTAGTCTTTACCTTAAATTTAACACAAAACATCACTGGAACTCTTCTATACTTTCAAAGAATACACCACATTAAACTTAAGGTGAGAAATGACTACATATCCGGGTTTTCCTTTTTTCAGATGTGTCCAGAAGCTAACCAAAGCAAGAAATATTTTGACCTGCTCCTGCTCACCTGTTTCAACACTATCAAAACTATCATAACTTACAACAAAAACCTGACATACATATACTCTTTTCTAAACCACTAAGACACTTTGAACAAAGCATGCAAGTAGCTTTGGAAGTGGTATACATTACTATCGCATAGTCACCACAGCAAACAGAGTCATTTTATGCACTCATCTGTGAATGAGACACGCAGACTAGAACTGGGGATGTGGCTCAGGGTTAGCGTGCTTGATTAGCATGCAGGAGGCCCTAGGTTTGATCTGTAACACCACACACACAAAAAGTACAGTCTTATAAAAATGATGTTTATTAATTCTAATTTTGACTTTTTAAAAGTAATCCAGAAAACTCAATATATGTATTAAATAGATATAAAACAACAGACTTTTAAAAGCCAAAAGCAAGAAATAGTTACTTTTTTTTCCCTCCTTTAGTGTGTCTAGGGGATAGCAGAGTAGCTCAGTGGTAGAGTACCTGTCTAGCAAGCCCAAACCCCTTAGTTCAAACCCCAGTACCACAAAAATAAATAATAAATAACCTGAGCAAAAAGGGCTGGAGGCATGGTTCAAGCAGTAGTATGCCTGCCTGGCATGCATAAAACTCTGAGTTAAAACTCCAGTACTGCCAGGGGGAAAAAAAAAGATTGCTTTAGAGTTTTGAACTCAGGACCTCAAGCTTGTTACACACGTGCTTTACCACTTGAGCCACATCCCCAGCAGTCTACTAAATAAGTAATAAATTCATATGGTTCAAAAACTAAAGACTATAAGGAAGTATCAATTGAGAATTTTCACACTTATGTCTGTGCTTACACTCTCCTCCCTACCCATACCCATGATCATTATTAATTTCTTGGAGCTCCTTGTAAGACTTTTGTGCAGACACAGCAATTAAGGATATTATTTTCTATTCTTCCTCACACACACTGGCCTGCACCTTGTTCTTTTCACTTGACAACACATCCTAAAAATCTTTCCAAATCACTACAATTACCTGTGATTCAACTGTGTGGAAATACATTAATTTAAGAGGAAGAATTCAAGGATGATACAATCTTTACAACTTCTGCCCAGTTTTAAAGTCAAAACAAACAAAAAAGGCTCTTTTGTAACAAACTAAATCAAAGCAATAATTTCAAATTAAGTTTAGCCAAGTACAAGGTACAGATTTATAAAGCAAATTTCTAGAAGAAAGAAAAAAACTGTTATGTTAGGGAGATAAAATTGTGGATAAAGCTTTTACTTTTTACTCATTTAAAATTGCTATAATGAAGTGTCTGAAATCAATAATGAAAAAACACTTAAAGTTCATTAGTAACATGGATTAAACTAATTTGAGATACATAATGTATAAATTGCTTTTCTACTTTCTTCTCTCTCTGTTCTGTTCTCCCTCTCCAGCTATGTCTAATATGAGGTTTAGAAGAGAAACCCTGGGAAGAAATTCCCAGATTTTAATAGCCTAAGGACTACTTCCGTAACTCCTGAGGCAGGGAGCCTAGGTTAGCACATTCATCAGTGTACCTGAGATAGACCCTCAAGTGCTCCTGCCAACCCACACAAGTGACGCTGCTGTCTAGCTTCCCAAGGTCCTATCTTTGTATCGCCCTCTATTACCTCTGCTCTTAAAAAGGACCTCAAACTCATTTACACCAAAGTAAAAATAACAATAATGTGTACTACCCCTCACTGGAATATCTGTACTCTAACAGCACTAAAAATCTTTTTTTGCCTGTCTGAAGGTTTGTTATTGGGTGAGGGGAGGGGTGGTCTTTGTTTGGGATAGGGCCTTGGTAATTTTGCCCAGGCTATCCTCAAATGCGCTATCCTCCTGCCTCACCCTCTTAGATACTGGGATTAAAGTATTGTGGCTTTAGTAATGCTAAAAATCTTTAAAGGAGCACCAAAAGCTGAAGATTTTTAAATTGTATGTGAGGTGACTCAAGTGCCTTTGCTCTTTTAAGGAAACTGGATCAAAAAGGACCTAACTTTTGCCTCCATAATCTTCTATGAATTCCTTGGACATCTGTGCGCATGGTGTTAGAATCAGAGGCAGCAATAATGAAGAGGTTGCATGCATAGCTGGTCAGGACATCCACATAACACATGTATCTATTCCAAAGGCACATCATAGCACAATGTACAGGGTACTTCCTAAAACTATGCAAGGTAGCAACCCTGATTTCCGTAAGAATGTGTTCTGAAGAGAAATTCAAAGGATAAGTAGGTAATTTTGAGAGGCTGGGTCTATAGACATAGCCTGAAAATACTGTAATGTAATAGTATGTGACATTCCTTTGTTACAACGTAATTTTATGTGTCCCTGAAGTAATAGAAGTAAGCAAGCCAATTACTGCTCATTAAGTCTGTTGTCCCTCACTTCAAGATGAAAGGTCACCAACACACCATGAAACTGAAGGAATTCTTAATCCAAAAAGAAAGCATACATAAGCCTTTACTTCTGGCCTCAATTCATAAATTTATCCTTCAAACTGTGGGAAAGAAGCAAGAGTCTAGACAGAGAGGTGAAGACATTTGCCTTGATTTAGGACAGAAAATAAAAATCTTAGCTGGGAACCGGTGGCTCACGCCTGTAATCCTATTCAGGAGGCAGAGATGAGGAAGATTGCAATTTGAAGCCAGCCCAGGCAAAGAGTTCACAAGAATCTGTCTCGAAAATATCCAACACAAAACAGGGCTGGCAGAGTGGCACAAGTGGCAGAGTACCTGTCTAGCAAGTGTTGGGCCCAGAGTTCAAACCCCAATACCAATCACCAAAACAAACAAACAAAAACTTTAGAAAACAGAATTTTATTAACCCCATAGCTTTAAAATTCTATTTATTAAGAAAACCAAGAAATTCAAACAATTATATTGTTATGTCTTTGGAGTTTTGGTGTGAAAATAATACTGTACTTAAAATGCAGTTCTCATCTTTTAGAGATACTAGAAATATTTCTAAACAAATAATGCCTGGGATTTGCTTTAAAATAATCCAAAGAAGCAAATAGGTAGAGGTATAGAGGAGCCAACAGTTAGTTGATAAATGAAGTTGTAGTATGAGAACACAGAGATTTGTTATACTCTTCTGTGCTACCTTGAAGTTTTCTTTACATAAAACATACACACAAAAGATACTGCTAGAATGCGGCACACAATGGGTAATAAATAAACATTTGTTAAAAGGATGAATAAAAGCCTGTTTTTGAGAATGTAGTAAGAATGCAGTACAAGTTCCTCAGTTCAAAGTTCATGGCAAGACTGCTATATAGCAAATTCGAGGCCAGCCTAGGCTACAAAGGGAGACCCCTATCTTCAAAAAAAAAAGTAATAATCAATGAATTAAGGAAATTAAATTATGTTTTTTATTTCCAAAATTTTGTTAAGTATAGATACTTAACAATTTTTTTTACAATAGCCTTACATCTTAAAAGATCAATAAAAACTCATTTGGCTCCTTATTACTGTAGTTCCCATCCTATCAAATTTTTTTTTTTTTTTTTTTTTTTAGTGGGATTGTGGTTTGAACTCAGGGCTTCATGTCTGAAAATCAGGCATTTGAAAAGTAGGCACTCTACTGCTTGAGCCATACCTTCAAGTCCATTTTGCTCTGGTTATTTTGGAGATGAAGTCTCATGCAGTATTTGCCTGGGCTGGCCTCAAACTGTGATCCTCCTGATCTCAGCCTCCCAAGTAGCTAGGATTACAGTCATGAGCCACAGGCACCAAGCTCATCCTATCAAACATTCAATTCATACATTCCCAGTTAATGCCTAACAAATACCAGGTCAACAAGAACAAAAATTAATGGTTACTACTAAAATTTAGAGCTGGGGTCATGGTTCAAGTGGTAAAACACCGAGGCCCCGAGTTCAAACTCCAGTACCATCAAAAATAAATAATAATAACTGAAATTTAACACTTATTTTGTGATATATTATGTGATATTTAATAACTAATAATGAGTGTGCTAAATTTATCTACATTTTTTAAGTAAAAGTATCCATGGATCATTTTGGTATATGAATCACTTAAAGCTATTATCTACATAACAAGTAATCTTTCTTTTTTTTTTGAGGTGCTAGGGCTTGAAATCAGGGCCTACACCTTGAGCCACTCCACCAGCCCTTTTTGTATGTGGTTATGTATTTTCAAGATAGGGTCTCGCAAACTATTTGCCCAGGCTGGCTTCGAACCGCAATTCTCCTGATCTCTGCCTCCTGAGTAGCCAGAATTACAGGTATGAGCCACAAAGCACCCAGCATAATAAGCAATCTTAAGATTAAGGTCTCTTCACAGGCAATTTAGGCTAAAATTTGATTTTATCCTTATTCTGAAAATTGCCATTATTTCGCTTTGATATCTCTATTTTTCATTCAGTCACAATTTCCTGGTTCTGATCACGTCATTAAAGCTGAAAGGAGGGGAAATAAGACAGAAACACACAGAACCAAGAAGGTGAGAAGAATCTGTGAGGGTACTGACAAAGCTTTTCCAGAGGCAGTTTGAAGAACGCAATCTTTAAATACTGAGAATTTCCCCTTCATTAGCATTTAATTTCTATGTGGAAATCTTAAACACGAATATTTATCTAACGAATAATATACATAAAAACTAGATATAAAAGAAAAAAATACTGGAGTATAACTTACATATTTGGCATAAATATACAAAAAATTCAAAACAATTCAGTTATTAATTCTGCTACACAATAAAGAAAATTCATGTCACCTATGTAAATTTACATCTTAGCACTGAGATTTGAGCGGACAAATTCTATAATGTGTTTACATATATTCATTTTCTACTTTTTTATAGATTCTAAAGAGCTATATAAGAAGTGGAATCACTAAGAATGGCTTCTAGCCCTTGGAATGAAACCACTACCTCTGTTTATCAGTACCTTGGTTTTCAAGTTCAAAAAATTTACCCTTTCCATGATAACTGGAACACTGCTTGTTTTGTTATCCTACTTTTATTTATATTTACTGTGGTATCCTTAGTGGTGCTGGCTTTCCTTTATGAAGTGCTTGACTGCTGCTGCTGTGTAAAAAACAAAACTGTGAAAGACCTGAAAAATGAACCTAACCCTCTCAGAAGTATGATGGACAACATTAGAAAACGTGACACCGAAGTGGTCTAGCTCTCCACAGAAGAGAAAATCTTGAAAGAAGCCTTCAACCTCTTCTCAGAAAAAAAAGCAGTATTTCCTGAGGCCAACTGTTACTATAAAATTATTTCTGACTCTGAATGGTTAAAACATTTCTAGTAAAAGCAAAAAAAAAAAAAAGTGAAAATGCACTTTTTGTGTGTGTATCCCTTTCATTAAAGTAATGGTAAAACTTCGTAAATGTGAATTACCAATCTATTTAATATGACACTTCAAAACCAGATAAAAGGCTGGGTGTCAGTGGCTCACACATGTAATCTTGGTCCAGGGCAGCCTGGGCAAAACAGAAGAACTATTTCCAAAATAATCACAGCCAAAAGGGTTGAAGGTATGGCTCCAGCAACAGAGCACCTGCCTAGCAAGTGTGGGAGCCCTAAGTTCAAACCCCAGGGCCGCCCTCCCACAAAAAAGGATGAAAGAGTCCTAGAATTCAGTATTGAACAGGAAAAGACAAACTAGAAAACATAAACATAGCTAAAAATGCTAAAATAATTTATATCTAAATAATTAAAATCAGTATTTAGGTAACAAAAATGCTATTTAAAATTTGTTTCTAAATCCAGAGTAAAATACTTCTACTTATACAGAAAGCTCTTATTTATTAAAAAGCAGCATTTTCTAATTTACTGAAGACATGCATTTTTAATGACTTTAGTTTTATAGGACCAAATAAAGAGTAAAAATAATCAGAAAGCCTACAGTATGCCTACATAAAACTCTCAAAAAAGTGACTTGCTTTTAGAAATACATGTTCTACATAAGGCCCAGGCTATTTCCAAGCTGAGACTTACTATCACTATTATTCCCAAGGCTGCATTTCCTCAGGGTGTTCTTTCATTTCAACCTCTCATTTTCATAATCTCCAGGACTGAGGTACTCAATGCAAAAAATACTGCAAACATAGTGAAAATAAGACTGCTTATTATAGTCAAAAGACTAATATTATTAAAACTACTCAATACCTTAAAAAATATGAGCTTTACTTCTTGAAATTCCAAGCACTGAATAGTATTTTATTACCTTAATACTGTTTTGCTACCACCTGTGAACAAACCAAAGCATCCTCTTAATCACTACATTATCCTTAGGCCAGAAATGACACTCCTAAAAATTTATAGAGGAATTACTTCTAAAGAAAAAAGCTCAATGTACAAAAATGCTTGTGATAGCATTATTCAAAATAACAAAAATTATAAACAACTAAGCCTTTAACTAAAAGTGACACATCAACAGATTATTTAAAAAAAAAAAAAAAACCAAATACTATGACAAAATATTTTTAAAAATTGGTATGTAAAGTGAAAGATAAACTGAATATAAAACTTTTAATACAATTACAGATGTTATTATGAGTTTATATACCTATGAGAAAGACCTAAAAAGAAGTATGGAAAAATTAGTATAGCTGATGTGTTAGGACTAGAGAAAAAGAGTGCTAGGGATTATAAATTTTTTTTCTCTCCATTAGTGATGAAAATTATTTGTACATTAATAACTATGTGGCAGAGAGAAGGGAGGAGAAATCGGTTGTTTTCACTTTAAAGAACCCTAACTAGGGGTGGAGTGACTCAAGTAGTAGAGCACCTGCCTAACAAGCGTGAAGCCCTGAGTTCAAACTCCAGTAATACACACACACACACACACACATACACACACACACACACACACACACACACACACACACACACACACAGGCTGAAATCATTACAAAGTATTCATTTTTGGAGCTCTTCTAATATTAGAATCAAATATATTACAAATAATGTAACCAACTTCCAAAGAACTTATAAAACGTAAGTATATAAAATATCTGAATACTTAAAAACCACATTTTCATGAATAGTAACCTTCGGGGTCTTTACCTTAGGTGGGTCTTTTAATAATCAAAATTTTTTTAATAATGTACACTTACCAACCCCCCCACCCTATTCTGTTATTTATTTAGCCATTCAACAAATATGAGTGCTTACCATGAACAAGAGATTAGAACAGATGCTGAAGGTATAACAACCAACAAATAATCATGCTACTTCAATAGTGCATCACAGCAGCTTTGCTAGAAAGAGTTTTCTGTTTGTTTGTTTGTTTGTTTATAGGTACTAGAATTTGAACTCAAAGAGTCTTGTGCTTTCTAGGTAGGGACTCTACCACTTGAGCCACGCTCCCAGCTCTCAGAAAGAGTTTTAAGTACTATGAAAACTCAAAAGTTCAACACCAAATTTATAGTAGACTCCCTTTCCCATAGTTTTCTCTCCATAGTTTTAGTTGCCTGGGTCCTAAGGCATTAAATAGAAATTTCCAAAAATAAACAATTCTTAAGTTTTAAACTGCCCACTATTCTAAGTAACATAATGAAATCTGTCTGTCCTGCTCTGTCCATCCCAGCACATGAATCATCCCTTTCCCCAGGGTATCAGCACTATATACATTACCCATGTATTAGTCACTTAATAGCTGTCTTGGTTATCAGACCAACTGTCACAGCACTGCGATGCTCGTGTTCAAGTAACCCTTACATAGTGGCCTAAAACTACTTCACAATACCTGTATCATTCACCTCATGTCATCTCACCATGTAAGCACTGTATCATCTCACATCATTATAAGAAAAGTGAATACAGTACAATAAGATGTTTTGAGAGAGGAAGTAAGAAACGACATTCACCGCCTAGTTTTATTACAGTAACTGTTTTAATTGTTCTGTTATTGGGAATTCTTGTGCCTACTTATGAACTGCATCACAGATATCTGTGTGTAAGGAAAACAGCACATACAGGGTTAGATACTATTCACAGTGTCAGGCATCTACTAGAGGTCATCCCCCAAGAACAGGCGGCGAGGGCACTACTATGACAGGACGTTAAGCTGAAACCTAAAACAGAAGTTAACCAAAGCGAAGAAAGACAGATGTAGAAAAGAATGGCTCAGGCCAGGCATGATGGTCCATTCTTACAATCCCAGATTAGAGAAGCCAAGGCAAAGGACTAAGAGTTTGAGGCCAACTTGCGTGACACAGTGAATTTAAAGCCAGCCTCGGTTTTTGAGATCCTGCCTCAAAAAGTAGTAATAATGTTTGAGGAAGAGGAAGACATAATATGAGCAAAAGTCAAGAGCCAAAAAAAGAGTAAAGCATTTAGAGAAGCTACATATCAGTATCACTAGGACAACACAAGGAGAATAGTGAGACCTGAGGAGTAAGGGTAAGTAAAGGTCAGGGAAGGTCGGGCATTCAGGCTTCAAGAAAAGATGGACTTTAGGCTGCGGATGTGACTCAGTGGTAGTACTTGCCTACCATGTGCAAGCGCCTGGGTTCAATTCCCCAACACCACCAAAAGAAAAATAAAATCATAAAAAGAAAAAAATTAAAACATGTTTCCTTGGATGTGGAGGCATGGTTCAAGCATAAAGTGCCTGCCTAGCAAGCACAAAGCCCTGAGTTCAAGTCCCATTACCACCAAAAAATAATAAAATAGTATACATATGTAAGTACATGTAAAAATGATAAAATTTAAAAAAAAAAACTAAATAAACCACTCACACTTTCCCTACCAGAAAAATAATAATAAAAGATGGACTTTAAATGAAAAACAATGATGCTTTACTTTAAGCAGAGAGTTACATGATCAGACCAGAAAAATCACTGCTGTGTGAAGAATGAACAGGAGAGAATTTAAACCAGGAGGCCTGCTGAGCAGCTTATTGGAAATCCAATGATAGTGACCTGAACTAAGGTGGAAGAGAAGTCTTTCAAGTTTACATACAATTATCTCTAGCTTTCTGATTACAAGGAAAGACTGCACTTAGGAACACTCGGTGGTTGGGTATGGCTTGGCCAATGAGTTATAAGACAAAGCAATGAGTGTCACTTTCAGGCTCGATTATGTAACTGCCATTTAAGATCTTCCAGAAACATTTGAAATAGGTATTCTGTCAGCTTCAGTCTTTGATAAACATGTGCTATGAAAGAAAAACAGCCTTTGTTTTAAGACACTGAGATTTGGGGATTGTTACAACAAAACTTATCCTATCCCAACCATTCCTAGGGATAACCCTGGCAGACCAAAGAAAACTAAAGCCTTACACAGCCTATTCTTGCTGCTTGCAGAGAAGATGAAATTCTTTACCAATTACATTCAGTCAAAACTAGAGGAAAAAAACAAAGACATTCTTGAACAGGTCAAGGATACTAGGTCTCAGAATGGCTTTGTGTTAATGTGTTTATGTCTGGGGATGTAGCTCAGACAAAATGCTTGCCTAGTATGTTATGTACAGGGTGCTGGGTTCCATCCCCAACATAAGAAAATACAAGTATTTAAAATGTATTATTTAATAAACTTAATGCATATATTAAAGAGATGATAGGCCTACTTTGATAAATTAGCTCCACTTTAACATGAGTTATTAAAACAGTTTTAAGGACATCTAACAAAATGACATCAATGAAGACTGTTATTGCTATATTTGAAGAAGCTAAATAATTCCTGGTAATTATTAAGTTGCAATGACTTCCTTTAAAAGACAATGATTTAAGAGTAAACTACACTGGGTCTACAGCCATACCATCCTAACAATGCCCAATCTCATGTGATCTCAGAAGCTAAGCAGGGTTAGCCTGGTTAGTGCAGAATAGGAATACCAGGTGCTGTAGGCATGGCACAAGTAGGAGAGTACCTGCATAGCAAGCAAGGAGCCCTGAACTCAAACCCCAGTACTGCAAAACCAACCAGCCCAAAAAAAAAGAAAAAACAACTTGAAGTGATGGTACCTACCTGTGATCTCAGCACTAGGGAAGCTGATGCAGGAGGATCACAAGTTGGAAGTCAGTCTAGGATACATACTGAGACCCTGTCTCAAAAAAAAAAAGAGTGAAAGAGTAAACTAAACCCAAAGCCAACAGAAGGAAAAAAATACTGAAGTGAAATTAAATGAAATTAAAAAAAAAAAACCACAAAGAAAAAGACTGACCCAATTAA